GATCTAAGTTTATTATGGCTAATTACAATGGGTAATATAAGTATGGAAAGGGTGCAAAAACCAATATTAAAACACCTATGGGAGAGACAACCGATTTTATAATTATAATGGATCTTCGTAAGGGAGAAAACTAGGAAGGGAAAATAGATGGAGAGGATTGTTGACCTAGATTGATTTATTTTAGTATATAAATAGTGGGGACCCATGTGATACACGAGATTTGTGAAACGAAGGCTAAATAATAGAAACACATAAGAGTATACAATTGTTTTATATTTTTAAATTTTTAAATAATTAATAATTATTTATATTTTTGAGTTTGACAATGATATAGAAAATATATGATATCTGAAATTTTTTTGACCAATCAACTAGTATCATTAACGTGGTAGCCAATAAGTGTTATTTATCAAAATTCATGGGTGGATTTCCATTGGTCAAAGCTCTTTCGATACCATATCTTTCCCGCATCATAGATTTTCCCTTATATACTACTATTAATAATTTTTTTATAACACAAAAATAATAATAATTAATTTCAATTAGCGTTGTTAATCGTAATAATGAAACCAACCAACTCGACTCGAGTTAGTCGATTTTATAGTATTTTTGACCAGCTTTGGTTCAACAATTTCCTAACCTCACTATGTTAGATCAAATTTCGCTTTGACCATTTGTAAATTGACCAAAATTGAACAACCCGACCATAGATATATATTTATATTTTATATTTTTAATGTAATTTTTTAATACAGGAAAGTGGGAAGTTTCCCATTTTTCTGAGTCTAAAGTATTTTATATCATGAATTTAATTTTCAATTTTATTTTTTAAGTTTAAATCTTTTGAACTAACTAAGCAAACTGAAAATCGACTCAAACTGATACAACCCAAGTTGGTTTCTGGAAGGGGTGCAAATGGATCAGATCATGATCCAATCCGAAGTCAGGTCCTATATTCTGGGATTCAGATAGCCCCATTTCGAATCTTCGAATCAGATCTGATTAGAAATCGGATCAAATTCAGATCACCTGGTCCCTATCTAATTCGATAAGATTCAATCAGATATATATGTTATTTATTTATTTATATAAATATATAACACACATAGATATATTACTTTTTTATTCATTTATAAATAATTTTTTATATTGCATTTTTGTAAATTTGTTATATTACTTATTTTTTTATAAAAAAACATGTATATAGATGACGAAAATAGTTGAAAAGATTATTGTAGTTTTTGTTTTTCTTTATTTAAATTGTTATATTTATTTTAATTTTAATAATTTTTTAATTTTTTAAAATCAAATTAGATAGGATCATATATGAAAATCTAACTTCCTCATCAGATTCGAATTCAGATCGATGTGTATCATACCTGGGATCTGCAATTAACAGTATCGGATCTAATTCAGATTACCCTAATTCGAATCTAATCCAATCTATTTGAACCCCTAGTTTTGGGTGACTAACTCCCCAACCTAACTAAGTTGATTTAGTTGGCCAAACAGCCTATAATCAAACCGAACCAACCCGTGAACACTCCTAATTTTGGCTAAATTCATAGTCTAATTTCTAATAACTAAAAATAGTTTAATCTTCAATAATTATTGAAAATTTATAGCAAAAATACAAATTTATTGAAAATATATTGGTAATAAAAATACAATAAATAACAATAAAAATACAAAAATTACAATAATTACAAAAATACAATAGATACTAAAAAATATATTAAATTAGTAAATAAATAGTGTAATCTCAAATAATAGTTTAATCTTTAATAAATATTGATTAATAAATTATAACAAAAATACAATAAGTACAATAAATTAAACTTAAAAAGTTAAATAACAGTAGTTTAATCTCTAATAATTATTTAAAATTTTCTATTAAATAAAAAACAAAAATAGATTTATACATACTTGTTGAAAATATATTTATCACAAAAAACAATAAATAATTACTTGAAATATGACAAATATTGATTTTAGTATATTTAAATATATAATAAATACAGATTAAGATTTTAAAATTATTATTAATAAACTTTAATTTTTTTAAAGTTTTTTCTAGAATTATTAATTGATATAAGTGAAATTAGTTATTTACAATATTATTTAGTTATTTAAATAATATCATTATTTAAATTTTAAAATATTAACTATTTATTGAATTTAATAATCCACAAAAGTATAATTCATACTATTATTACATAATTTCGTTATTAATTTTTTAAAATATTATATTATTATTTTTTTTAATATTGGGTTGATGGGGACAATGTTTTTAAAACTAGATCAAACTAGATTGTTAGACCGGAAAAATTGGAAACCGAATACCGTTTCACCTCAAAACCGCTTTTTGTCCAAAAACCATTTATTTGGTTAGCGAACTGCTGACCTGGGCGGTCGAACTGTCAACCCAGACAACAGTTTTTGGCCTTTTTCCATTTTTCTTTTTTTTTTGTCAAAGTGGGTCGTCTGTTTGGATCAAACAGTTGGACCATTCAACCCCAAAACGGTTCCCTATCCAATCCAATTTTAAAAACCTTTGACTGGGAGTGGGTGCCTTGTCTTGAGCTCGGCTCGGTGTATGGCATGGCCTGGCCCAAGGCTCGACCCATAGCACGGCACACGTGCCCGTGCGGACTCGGGCCGTGGGCCATGCCAAACCAACCCCCCAAATTACCCTAGAGGAGGGAGGCACGGCCCGGGACACCTCGTGGGCCAGCACGGCAGAATCACACTTTGTACGGGCCACATGTGGGTCGTGTCATATCAACCTAGCAAGACCCAATTTACACCTCTACTTGAACCCGCCCAATACAGGGGATGGGGCARGGAAATTCGAGGATTCTCCATCCTTGATGAGGAGTGGGGTGCCTTGCCCCTGAACTTGCCCGACATTGAGGAGTGGTTGCCTTGCCCTAAACCCACGTGACACTAGGGATGGGGCAGGGATGGGGTAAAGTGTCTTGACCATGGGGCAGAGAAAGGGATGGGGTGTCCTGCCCTGAACCCACCCCGTTGTCATTCCTATATAATCATTAATTATTAGTGGAATTAATAAAAATGTTATCTTTTATAATTATTTTTATTTATTTAATGTTAATCAAAATTTAATTTACAAAATAATAAAAAGAATAAAAATTATTAAAACTATACAAATTATTAATAAAACTAAATTTATTAAAAAGTATTTGTTGATATTCAATTAACAATATTTATTTTTTATAAATCAATATTAAATGAAAAATAAAACTATTAAATCTTTTAGATTTTCCCATGCATCGCAGGAGTCCTTGCTAGTGAAATAAAAAAAAATAGAAAATTCAAAAAAGGAAAAAATTTCTTCGCTACTATGTTTTAGTGTGTGTGTGTGTGTGTGTGTGTATATAATATTAACTTGCATTCTCTTTCATTAAATCCTATATTTAAGGGATTTTTTTTGTCATTAATAGTTTATACTAATTGGATCTATATCCAATATTTTAATAATATAAAACTTGTCTTAAAAAAAACCCAAAAATGAAACTATTACAAGTGGCTCGTAAGCAATTCAACCATTTAGGTCAAATCAAATGTATATACCCATGATATTATACCTAACTAATAAAATTTTTAAAATATAAATAAATACAAAAAAGTTGTAGAAAATTTGGCCATATCTTTGATATTTTATATTAATCATATTAAAGAAAAATAAGTGTGATAAAAAAATTATTTTTATTGAAGATGAAAATGATATACAAAATTTAAACTAACAAAAAAGTGAAATTGTTTTCTTGGTTGGTGGTGGGTTAATAGTTCTACTTTCACATCAAATGTATTAACATTTGGTGTAATAATCAAATAATAAAAATACAAAAAAAAAGCAAAGAATACATAAATTTCATAGAAAACAGCTGGATATATCTCTAATATTGTATATTCATCATATTAAACAAAAAACAATGGTGATAAATATTGAATTTGGTTTATCTCTAATTATGAGAGCAAAAAATGTAATTCGAGCTATTACTTTCACCTCACCCCCTCTTTATTAAGTCTTATATTTGAGGTATTAACTCCCATTTATTAAATCTTATATTTAAGGTGTTTTTTCTCATCAATAAATTTTATTAGTTAATTCTATTGCCTTTAACAATATAAAACAAAAAAAAAACAAAATCATTATTTTATCTAGGTGGTGGGTAAACAATTCAACCATTAGTGTTTAATAGGTCAACCTTCAATGTCATAATTAAATAATAAAAATTAAAAAATAAAAGACAACTTTATGAAAAATTTTATAAATGAAATAAAAAAGAATTATTTTATACACATAAAAGCATAAAAAAGATGTAATAAAATTAGCCACATTACTATTTATCATCATCATCAAGAATTGGCAAAGTATGTGCATGTTCGCTAGTTCATAACAAAGAAGATATTGAAAGGATGTCAACCATAAAATTAGGGTAGGATGGCAAAATGAAAAGATATTAGATATGCGAATGCCACTTGAGTAAAAGGAAAACCCTATAAAATAGTTACAAAGGCCAGCTATATCATATGAAACATTATAACTGGAGCCATATTGGTGTGTGAAATACCCTACATAATTGTCATTGCCATGCTTACATCAACAAACCATGTTTCCTGGTTGAGTGAACTATAAAATAGTTGGAACCATGAATTGCTGAACCAGCATAACATTAGTTGTCTTCGCAAACCAAATGAAACACAAGCATGACCACCAACTGAGCAGCCCTAACTTGTCCCGTTATAATAAATCGTATTCAATAAGCGAATTAACAGGATGGAAAACAGAAAGGTGGTCATTCAGTTTTCCTAGTCCTAGATTCATGGCCGATTCTATAAACAATAATTTTGACACTGGAAATATAATCCACAGCATTTCGTAGTAGGCAAAAAGTAAATGCCTCGTCAAGCTTTTTGCTTTTTCTTTGGGTAAAATAATGCCTTGTCAAGTTGGGATTGGTCATTTTGCACGATTTAGCTCAAGAACAGATCACTTTGAAGTTCATACAAGTGCTTAAACATGCTGGTTGGAAACGCTCTCCTCCATTGAGATGATTCAGTACTACCCTCGAACCAAAAGCCCAGAAGGATCATTCTACTTTCCAAAAGAGCAGTGAACTGAATGTTTCTTACAGCATCAACCAAAATATGTTCAGTTGAAACAACCAAACAAAAGCCCCTATCCCTCATTCTCTCACACGCACAAAGACCTAAATCTCACACCCACACAATGATGAAAGCATTACCAATCTGAATCATCAAAAACTGGTTCAGCTCCGCAGAAATGCCACAGTGGCAACACGTGATCCTTCTGATCCTCCAAACGTGAATGTAGGGTATGACTGAACATGACTTAGATATCGGAACAGAGCTTGTTGGTCCTTGGGGGCCTCAGGGTCCTGGGAGACGAGTTTTCTTTGGTTGAAATTATCCACCTCGTGCACCAATTCATCTTTTGTATTGTTACATGATGTGATCACCTGCAACCATGACCACAAATAGGGTCAGAAATCAGAAAAAAAAAATGGTATTGGATTGGACCCAAGAGGCCCAGACCCGTGATTGAATATGATTAGATGGTATTTAACATCATTAACCAGTTCAGAAAACACCACAATAAATAAGAGTTAGCATTCAAAAACAAGCTTGGAGAAGATACAGTGCTAACCAATATTCCACCGGGAGCAACCAACTTCGAGACTGAATCCCAATACATGATCCTGAAAAGAGAAGATGAGCAAAAAAATAAACTCGTATTTCTTTCAGCATTTGAAATCATGAAATGCATGGATTTAGCTTTCTTAGTTGCAGTTTGGGTGAATCAATTGATTCCAAAACATCTTGAAGTTTAAAACACATATTATGTTTACTCGCTAGGGTGATGTTTGGTATCTTGTCTGTTTCCACTTGAAACACTGCCATATCAACACCACTTTAATGGTTTGAATTTAAACATTATTTTTCTCTTTTGTTGAAACTGTTTTGAGTTGAACCAGTCATAAAACGTTTTTACTAGAAACATAAACCAGGGGGTGTTGGGGGAAACAGCATTGATGTTTTCTCCATTGGCTGCACGTTTGAAGAAACAGTCCAATGACCTGGGTCTTAGTTCATGTCCTATGTGGCAGCATAGAAATACATTCTGGTGCATCACATACTGGATCTTAGTTCTGGCACGTTCAAATACCTATAAACCCTACCTCCAAAACAAAAGTTTTTTTTCCTGGTTCTATGCTTTTATAACCATTAGATCTGCATCTAGATGTTAGTCTATGTTTAATAATGAGCCAATTAGTAGAAAACATTTATTTTTAAATTTGACCATTGGATGAGAATCAGTATAGTAGAGTGGTGTGACATTGAATATAAACATTCCATTCTAACGTTTTAGGTAGCAATGCCAATACTAAACACAATGCTGCTCAAAAGTCAAAACATTTATTCAACAGCTAGTCAGCATAAGTACCAACCAAACAAGTTTCGTGCCAAAATGTCTGTGTTGGAGTTTTGACATGAAATGCCATTGTCTCTCTAAATGTTTGAGCCTGAAAGGGCAAATGGTACCAAACAAACCTAAGCAAGAAGAAAAGAAGTCAAAAGAAACTGAATTTTCCTAGCTTGGAATGAAGAGGAGGTTTCGGGCATTGAAATTGATAAAGGAGAATTCTCAATCTCTGTTCTCTTTACCAATAAGAATGATGGTTTCAGCTGGATTTTGACTGTTGTATAAGGACCAAATGCTCCTGCAGATTGGCAAAGACTCTGGGAAGAGTTGGATGCTCTACATGAATTTGATGAAATCCCTTGGGTCTTAGGAGGAGACTTCAATGTCACAAGGTTCTCTCAAGAAAACTCCAACAGAAGAAAAGCAACTAGAAGCATGAGAGACTTCTCCAGATTTATTTCAAGACATAACCTTTGCGACCTCCCCCTCCATAATGGCCAGTTCACTTGGTCAAATCTTCAAGAGAACCCAACAAGCTGCAGACTAGATAGGTTTCTGGTAACTTCAGATTGGGTAGAAAAGGTCCCAAATTTTCTCCAAGAAATCAGACCCCGCTGCACTTCAGACCACTGGCCTTTAGTCCTAAGAACAGATCTGGTCCTGAATGGTAAACCCCCTTTTAGACTGGAGAAAATGTGGACTTTACATAAAGATTTCCACAAAATGTAGCTTCCTGGTGGGAGGAATGTAGAGTCCAGGGCTGGGCTGGGCACAGATTGTTGCAAAAGGTGAAATTCCTGAAAAGAAAACTGAAAGCCTGGGGGAGAGAAGAATTTAAATCGTTTGCAGAGGAAAAAAGTGCCATCCTCTTGGAGTTGGAAGATCTAGATAACAGAGAGCAATCAGGAGTTCTGGACGAAGAAGGAAGAAGTAGGAGAGATGATTTAAGGAATTCTTGGGAAAAGGTAATCAGAAGAGAAGAAATCTTTTGTAGGCAGAGGTCTAGGGTCAGATGGTTAAAGGAGATAATAACTCAAAATTCTTCCACAGCTATGCATCGGGTAGGCGTAGAAAGAACCTCATCTCAAAAATTAAGGTGGACAAGAGGGAGGTGGAAGATGCTGAAGAAATCACAGAAGCATTTCTTAACCACTTCAAAAATCTTTACTCTAAGGAAAGTGGTAGAAAGTTTAATTTAAGAAGTTGGGAAGGGCCGACTCTAGCAGAAGATAAGAGAATATGGCTCGAAAAGGAATTTGAGGAGCAAGAAATAAGAGAAGCAGTATTCAAGATGGATGGACACAGAGCCCCTGGGCCCGATGGTTTCCCAATCTTCTTTTTTAGATATGTTGGGAAGTTGTAAGAGTGGATCTTTTGGAGGTCTTTAAGGATTTCCACTCCATGGCGGTTGTAAACAAAGGAAATAACTCTACACTTATTTGCCTCATTCAAAAGAAAATGGTGTCTTGGAAATGAAAGATTTCAGACCAATAAGCCTAGTAGCGAGTGTGTACAAAATCCTATCAAAGGTTTTAGCAAAAAGACTTAGAGAAGTCCTAAAAGAGTTGGTCTCTCCAAACCAGTTTGCATTCATGAAAGGAAGACAAATTATAGACAGCACCCTAATTGCAAACGAAGTTGTCAAAGATAGAAGGAAGAGTGGAAGGACGGGCCTACTTGTGAAACTAGATCTGGAAAAAGCTTATGACAAAGTAGATTGGGACTGCCTTCTCCAAGTTCTAAAATTGAGGGGGTTTGGAACGAGGTGGCTGCAGTGGATGAAAGGCTGTATAAGTTCAACCTGGTTATCATGATCAATGGAGAGCCCAAAGGTTACTTTAAAGCAAGTAGGGGTCTCCGACAGGGCTGTCCTCTCTCCCCGTTCCTCTAAACTTTGGTAATGGATGTCTTTATCCAGCAAATGGAGAAAGCCCAAAGCCTTAACTTAATCAAGGGGTTTGAGGTAGGAAGAGATGCCATGAATATATCCCATCTCCTATTTGCAGATGATGTCATCCTGTTCCTGGAAGCCAATTTGGAGAATATCACAAGTATGAAAAGAGTGCTTCAATGCTTCGAATTAGTCTTTGGGTTGAAGGTTAATTACTCAGAGTATCCTAGCAACTGTGAACCAAATTGAAGATTCCCTCCTAGAAAGTTTCAAGGAAACTCTGAATTATCGAGTGGAAAATTTCCCCCTATCTTATTTGGGCTTGCCCTTTGGTGGGAATCCAAAAAGTCCAAGTTTCTGGGAGCCAGTGGTGGAAAAATGTGAAAAGAAGTTAGCTACTTGGAAACGTTGCTATCTCTCAAAAGGGGGCAGACTCACCCTCATAAAGGCTTCTCTTGCAAACATGCCCGTCTACTTCCTTTCAGTGTTTCAGATCCCTGCCAAAATCAGATCACAGATTGTGGACATTCCCCATTGAATCAAACTCCCTTTGGGCAGTTATCATCACCAGCAAGTATGGGTTAAATGCAAACGGTTGGTACTGCAATCTCCGCTCAAACCGACTAGCTTCCTCAAATCCTTGGAAAGGTATCACTTCCATTCACCACCTCTTTTTTTCTTTCATAAGATTTAGGGTGGGTAATGGAAATAGAATAAAGTTCTGGACTGATCTGTGGTGGAGTGATTCCGCATGAGCATATTATCCTAGGATTTACAACCTTACCCTAAACAAAGATGCAACCATCTCTCAGTGCCTCCCCAATTCTCCCAATGAAAGCAACATAAACTTGAGCCTCAGAAGACCCTTACGGGAACCGGAGATCACTGAGTTAGCTGACCTCCTCCTCTCTATCAGAGAAGTTTACATTTCCCCAAACTCCCAAGACTCCCGAGTCTGGAAACCCCACCCAGGAGGTGAGTTCTCGGCCAAGACTTTCTTCGAAGCTCTGGTTGTAGGAAACCGAGATTGTGACTTCCCTTTCAAGAAGATCTGGTGTAAGTTTGTCCCCTCAAGAGTGAGTTTCTTTGTTTGGGAGGCTTGTCTGAATCGAGTAAACACTTGTGAGTTACTTCAAAAGAAGAACCTTGGAAGGCTTTATAGCCCCTCATGTTTGTATCATTTGTCTCCATGAGGGAAAGACAGCTGACCACCTCTTCATACACTGCCAGGTAACCAGCAACATCTGGAACTACTTCCTTTAGCTAGTTGAGTATAGTTGGGTGGCTCCTAATCACCTTCAGGACTTGATTTCTCAGTGGCATGGAAGAGGTCTAAGCAAGAGAGGTAAGGTTTACTGGCTGATAGCAGTGTTTTAAAAGCACAAGGGCCAATTTGTGCCTGATGGAAGTTCTCTGGGTAACCCTGGAGTTTCCGGCATAGGGGGAACCCTAAGAGATGAAAATGGGCTCATCTACTGGGTATACAGTGGACCGATTGGAATAGCTGATTCTACAAAGGCAAAAGTGTTAGCAGCTCTTACAGGGATTCGCCTAGTCAGCAAACTACGTATTCAGAACTTCTCCATTGAAGGCGACTCAGCAAACACTATAAAATGGTTAGGACAACAGGAAGCTGGACCGTGGAGACTTAGTCACTTCTTAACAGAGGCAAGAGACCTATTGGCTCCTATGAATGTTTCTCTGTACTGGATTCCAAGGGAGCTAAATGCCATTGCAGATGGATTAGCAAAAATAGGTGTCATTCTGGACTGCTTGTATTGTGACAAAACTCCTGTGTAATTCTCAGGGGTCTGGCCCCTGTTACGTATTTGTACACTTTCTTGTGTACCCTTCTCTACTTTTTATGAAATCAGTTAACTTCTTTCAAAAAAAATTCCCAATTATGACATCTAGGTTAGTTGTCTGCCCAGTGAAGAATGACTGATGCTTAGCAAGACATATCTCAGCATACAAATATAAATGCATGGAAAATTGACAATCAATGAAGTAAATACTCAAGTTATTACCTTTTCAAGGTGCCATCTGGATGCAATCCAATTGCGTCTAAAGTACCTTTATCCATAACAAGTTGGAACTGCTTCTCCAATTTTGTCTCAAGAACATCATCAACCTACAACAAATGCATTGAATAAAAATTGGTGTAAAAAATTCCATAGAAAAAAAAAACTGTATAGAGAATCAGCAAAAAAGTATTCAGAGTTAGGAGCTCTAGAAGGCAATCCAGGTCCTTCGGGTATAGGGGGAGTATTCAGAGATGAGGATGGTAGAATTTTGCTATGTTTTCAGGGCCAATAGGAGTGGGAGATTCATTGAGAGTGGAGGCTATGGCTTTGCTTCAAGGTGTAAGATATGCCAAACAGTTAGGGCTACACCAAATTGAGATAAGAGACTATAAATTGCTAATTGAAGGGTTGCAGTCAGGTAGCTTGGGAGCTTGGATATATAGACAGTCCATAAGCAAACTCCTTAGCATAACAAGCGAGACTGGTGCTTGTTTCAAGTGGACAAGGTCAGCTAATGGACTAGCTGATACCTTAGTCAAACAAGGGACTGCAAGGGAGCCTTTATTCTGGGCAGTGTTGTAACAAAAATTACCTTGGGTTCAACACCCTATTTCAGGGGTTGCCAGTTGTACCTTGATATTTCTTTATATTGCTTTAATGGAGTTACCATTTCCAATAAAAAAAAAAAAAGAAAAGAAAAAGAATCATAAAAAAAGTAAGACTATTAATTGTCAATCATATTTGTTGCAGACCCATAAAGAATCAGGGACATAACTAAACAAACCAATAGTGTATATGGTATGTCAGGTGTTCAGTTTCACTATGTTGTCACTTGCCACTTGGCCAGTGATGGTCACTGTTTCCCATCCATTCACCTTTGGGTAGGAGGGTGCGGATGTATCTCTTTGATTGAAAGTAAATAATAAAGAAAAATTCATTAAAATAAAAGATATTACAAATAAAGAAAATACAAGAAACTTAAACAACCAACATCTCCATTTTCTAACTCTAATGCTGACCAAAAGTCAGACCCAAATGGTTCTTTGGAAGCTTCTTTAAATTCTTGTAATATCAGAATCCAATCCAATATTTTGATTCTATTCTTGCAGAAAGATTCTCTTTGATTGTACGACTGATAAAAAATAAAAACATACTTACTCTATGCCATTTTAAGTTAATTGGTTTCAAGCAGCTCAAATATTGTGCAAGCATCCAAAAGAATGGCTTACATGATGGTTTTTTTTTATTTTTACATTTTTTTATCGATAACAGTTACAAACTTTAATATATATAGTCATTTAGTGGGCTAGAAGAAGAAATGGAGAGCAAAAGACTCTTACTGCTGGCAGCAAAATGGAGGAAAACTCTCAAGTTTTGAGGCTAAGGTTTTATGGAAAATAACAAAAACACGAAAGAACATAAAATCAGAAATATGAATCATTACATACCAAGAAGTTGATGTTACTAAATCCATCATGATCAGCAAGGCTTCGAGCAAGGTTGATTGCCCCTTCACTATAATCAGATCCAGTCAGCTCACAGAACCTGGAGGAGCACATCACAATTTGGTCTATTATTGCTTCAAATCCAAAACATAATAACAAAGAAATAAATGTAAAGTACTAAATGCTACAAATAAATCTAAATGTTAGTTTTTAACAAGTTACCACCTTGTAAGCTAAAAACTCGAAACACATATTCCCATTACTAAGCTGAAAACCATACGTTACACAATAGGAGACTTACTTCGAAGCCTAAGAGGATAAATTTGACTAGAAGAAAGAAGAATGAAACATAAAAGACAAAATTATGCATATCTAGCAACTATAGTTGCCTTATAGGGCAATCTAAAATTTTCTTTGTTAAATACCTCCCAAATAGTATATGCTCACTTAAACTATATGTTTTTCAATATAACATACATAGCTTTTTGTTCCTAACAACATCATCATTTGGAAGGATTTGGAACAAAGAAGTAGCAGTAGCGGAAGAAGGGTGGAAATTAGGAGGGAGGATAGAGAAAAGACCGACATAATTTGGAGTTTAACTTTTTGTAATGCTTGAAGAATTTAAAGCAAAAGGAATTGAACAAGTTGAGAAGGATAGTATTGATGCTGTGAATCAAAGAACAGGAGAGAACTCAAAGAGAAAAAATAGAGGAAAAACTTGAGTCTATACCAATGGGCAAAGGAGCAGAAAGGACGATATGGTAGTGGTTAGAGGATCTGATCAAAGGGAAGATGGAAGATAGAATGCAAGTGTTACAGGCGAGTTTAGTTGGTAGATTTGTGGGAAAGGAGGCAAAGGTGGAGAAACTTGAAGCTTGGGTGGCACTGGAATGGGGAAGGGAGAAGGTGATGGAGGTAAGGAAGTTGAGCACAGGTCTGCTGTTGTTTATGTTTCACAGTAGACAGTATGCAGAGTGGGTATTGAATTCAGAAAAAAATAAAAAGAAGAGTGGGATTTAAGGTTGGATTGGTGGTATGTGACAGCTGGAGAAGAAACAGAACAACAAGAAGTGGAATAAACAAATAGACACGACAATGTCTAAATCCCCCACAGAATTACAAATGAGCCCAAAACATAGATTGTCCCTGAACCCCTTGCTTAGCTAGACCATCCGCCAAGCTGTTTGCAGACCTTCTAACCCAATTAACCTGAGTGAGCATATCCTTTGAGAGCCAGGTGAACCATCTGAGATCATTCCATAGATGCCAAGACACTCCTTCCCCCTTCTTTAACCAGTTCACAACTATTTTAGAATCACCTTCAATAATTAACCTCCCAAAACCCAATTCTTTGGCTTTCTCAACCCCAAAAACTGCTGCCAAAAATTCTGCTGTGACAACATCACCTTGCTCAATTGGACCTGAGAAAAAGGAGCATATTTTTCCTTCCTCATCCCTAATTACGCCCCCAATTCTGGATAGTCCTGGATTGCCCACACAACTCTCATTGAAATTCAGCTTCATCAGCCAATAGAAGGAGACTATTCCACTTTTATCAGCTGTCTTCTAGAGGATGAGTCAGCAATAACTCCCCAAGATCTAAAGAAATCATCAGAGAAGAGTTCCAATGTCTTGACCCATTGAGCCACTCTCAGAGTTATGACCTCTATTAAGGCTTCCTTACACATCTTGTCCTGGAAGGTTCTTGAGTTTCTTTCTTCCCAAACAGTCCAAACTATTACTGCCCTACATTTCCACATCAATCTGCCCCTCCTTTTTGTAGAGCTGCAAACAGAAGGGCTAAACAACCCTTCCAAGAAAGCAGGAGGAAGCCACCTACGCCCAAAAAGAGAAGCAAACCAATCCCAGATAAAACTGACAAAAGGGCAAGATATTAAGAGATGAAATGAAGTCTCGCCATTTAACTTGCACAAGTAGCACCAATTGGGGAACAAACACTAATTTGGCCTCTTCCTTTGCAGTAAATCACAAGTGTTAAAACAACCATGAAACACTTCCCAACAAAAAGCACCAACTCTAGGAGGAATGGGAGCACACAATATTTCCTTAACAGGGAAGGAAGGAGGACGAGGTGAGGAGGCAACAAGCGAGGTAAACAAAGACTTACATGTGAAAAGACCGGTTGGATTAAGGGTCCACGCCCTACTATCCAAACCATCTTCCCCTAGGACCACCGAATTCAGCAAGGTAAGCAAAGCAGACACAATGGGAACCTCGGACTCTCTAAGATTCCTAGTGAAGCCCAAATTCCAGTTCAACACAAAAAGAGAAGGGGATCTAAGAAACTATAAATGGGAAATTGCTGCGCCAAATTCCTGAAGTTGATGATAAAAACAAAGCTTGGGACAAGTTCAATGTGGCAAGGATTCTGGTCGAAGTCAGGGAGACGGGGACATTGCTGAAATTCCAAACAAACTAATGCTTTAATTTGCAGGAGCATGTTATGAGCTGAGAATAATTTGAAGGTCCAGAATAAACATTTCGGAAGGCAGAGGAGAAGATTATGGAGTAGAATAGGAGTGATAGTGAAGAAGAAATTGGAGTTGCGGAAGATGGAGAGCTGTCAGGTTGGCGGGTGGGACAAGAGGAGGTGGACAGGTGGCAGGTGTGGCAGAGGTGTCGAAGGGAGGCCAAGGATCATTCCGAGGGGAGGCAAGGGAGAGGGATAAGCAACTAGTGATTGGCAGTAAGATTCAGTACAAAAAAGGGAGTGGGGACAACTTTTTTTAAGAATCTTGCAAAGAGTTTCAAATGTGGAAACGAGAACAAAGGGTCTCAAGTTTCTAGGGGTATATTTGGAAAAAAGGGTATTAGCTTGAAGAAGGGTAGATCTTGGCAAATAGGGGTTGATCCCATAAATAATTGGACAATAGGTGGTTACAAAGTATAAAGATGGTAGAGTGATTGGAGTTTCAGAAGGAAGGAAGATGAAGGTGCTCCAAGCAAATGGCAATCGAAAGGATGAACTACTGCAATGCAAAGGCTTATAGGTGGTGGAAGAACTGAACTCAAGAGGGGATCAAAGCAAGGAAGGTTCTCGAGAGCCTGAATTGACCTATTGATAAAAAAAAAGAGCCTGAATTGACTGGACATCCAGCAGTTGGAGACCAATAGCACATGCAGGGAAGGGGAGAGCTTTTAGGGGGAAATCGAAGGGATTGTTGAAGGTTCAGTGAACAGGGAACAAGGAATTTTGGTAACAACTGTGGGAGCGAAAACATTGGAAATCATCGCTCAACTGAATAACAAGGTGGGTTCTAGTTGTTCACTTGATACTTCTCCATCTAACTTCATCTTCTCCTTTGTGATGGGGGTGCTTTGAGAAGGAAGGAAATCTCAAGGGAGTTGGGTTTGAAGCAGTGGTCGAAGGGAGCAATAATTGAAAGAGAAAAAGGGATGGGGATGCTTCACATAGGTCTAATAACAGGAAGAAAAAATGGTGGGCAAGGTGTGATAGGAATCAGGGTTGAAAGGGGAAACGGGGGAGCAAAGGGAGAATGGGGAAACCACAAGAGAGAGAGAAGAGGAGAAAGTGGGGGATGAAGCTGAAAAGGCTGTTGGGGAAGATAATTCAGAGAAAGGAAGAGTGAGCATTGGTCGGTTGGTGGATAAACATGTGGAAGAATCATGTGGAGAGCTACAAGAGAAGCTGTTTTGTGGTCAGTTTGGGAAGAAAGAAATAATAGGAACTTTAAAAATGTCAAAAGATCCAAGGAGGAAATTGTAGAAGGAATAACCGTCAAGGTTATTCACTGGTTGAAATCAAGTGAGTTGTTTAAAGACTTCTTAGTTGATGACATCTATAGAAGTTGGGGTGAGGTACAGGAACTCCTATCAACACAACAATGGACGAAGTTGAACTTTGATGGAAGCTTTATAGGTAATCCGGGCCCATCAGGTATAGGGGGAGTATTTAGAGATTGAGAAGACAGAATTATTGCAATGTTTTCGGGACCAATAGAAGCAGGAGATTCATTGAAAGCAGAGGTGATGGCTTGGCTTCAAGGTGTAAGACATGCCAAACAGTTGTGGTTGCATTGAATTGAGATTGAAGGGGACTCTAAGTTGCTAATTGGTTGGATGCAGTCAGGTTGCTTGGAAGCTTGAAAACAAAGACAGTTGATAAGGGAAATACGTAGCATAACAAGGGAGATTTGTGAGTGTTTCAGGTGGACAAGAAGGTCAGTGAATGGGTTAGATACTTTACCAAAACAAGGGACTGTTAGGGAAAACATGTTTTGGACAGTATTGTAATCAGCATGCAGATTGGGTCAACACCCTATTCTTGGGGTTGACAATTGTACTTTGAATTATCTTTAATGAAGTTACCATTTCCAACCAAAAAAAATCATTGGGTATATTTTTATAGGATAAAATTAAAGAAGAAAATAGAGTACAGTTTTACAATTTTTTTCTTAGGTAAAGATTCTTGATGAAAGGCATTGGAGGTGTTTTGATGGGAGTTCCATGGAAAGTTCGGGAATGGCAGGTATTCTAGGTTTTCTAGAGAAGGCAGGGTGGTGGCTATGTTTTCAGGACCCTTAGGATTGGGAGACTCACTAAATGCTGAACTGTGTATTGCTGCAAGGCTTAAGACTAGCTAAGCAATCAAACTTCCAACACTTGGAAGTAGAGGGAGACTCAAAACTGGTTGTTTCTTGGGCCAGGAGTAAGCATCTTGTGCTATGGATCTACATGCTTTTAGGGAAATAGAGACCCTATCAAGGGAGCTGAACATTACTTTTAATTGGGTAAGAAAGACTGCAAATGGGATGGCTGATGCTTTAGTAAAACAGGGGGTCTATAAACAGCAGTTGTTTTGGGAACTATTGTAATTTTATTTGGGGTTAGGTTTGGTCAATGTCTTTATGGGTGGCTGGAGCCAATCTAATGTATTAATTTGTTTTCACCAATTAATATAATTAATAAGATTTTTCTTGCTGATCAAAAAAAAGAAAAAGAAAAAGATGTTTGATCAAAAGAAAAACAGGGAACATGCATTAAAACGTTGTTCTTTGAAGGCCTGAAAGAAGATGGAGGAGGTTAACACTTAGCAGTTTGTTGAGGTGTCTTCCA